GAAGAGGGAAAGGATAAGAAGAAGCTGTGAACCTGAGATCAATGGCAATGACCTGGACATAGTTTTGTCATATTGACCTTCACTTCTAATTTTCCTGAAGGAAGAGAGGTCTGGGGACCTGCAGAGGGGCTGATCCTTGTACCTAGGTAGAAGCAAATCTGGCACCTAGGTAGAAGCAGTGTGGGGAATGTGGCTGCCATGTGGCTAAGATCTCCTACTGCCCGGAGCATGACAGGGTAATGACTTTATAAGTCGCTTCAGTGCATGTTTGCATGGAACAGGCCTTCCCATACCATTGATTGATCATGAAATGCATACTATAAAGCTGACCAATTTCTGCAAGCATTGGTCAGTTTGTTTCAAGGACTCCTGATTGGCCTAAAGCTCTCTCCGAACTGTGCTGCAGTCTTAGACTCTTTCTACCCTTCTCTTTCCTTCCTTTCTCTTTCCTCCAGATGTCAGAGCTGAAGTATGGTCTGGAGGTCTTACTCACTTTCTCCTATCCTCTCCTTGTTAATCTTTGACAGGTGTTTCCCCAAATAAATATCCTGCATGGCTAATCCATCTTACTCCATCGATTCTAGATGGCCATGAACTAATTAATGCATATTCTCCAGCTAGTTGCTAGCTAATTACAGCAGATCCATGCACCATAATATTGTAGGAGAAGTGAGTTTTTATATACAGTTTAACATAATCTTTGTAATCATTTATTTATTTAAATGGGCTAGGTAGCATGATTTCAACAACAATAAAAAATAAAACAAAACAAACAAGCTTGGATCCAGGTTTTCTCAATCAGTAATTTGAAGACATATCTTCATACAAATTCATGATAGGGTTACCAAAGTTCTCCTCAGTGGTAGAGCACTTGTAGTATTGTATCTGGCTCAACAAGGTCATTGTACACATATTCAACTTACAAACCATTTCAAAATTATAATGTCCACGGTTATACAACCTGACATTGTGTACATTTTTCTGGGCAATGTAAATTTGCGGAAATTGCATGGAAAGTGACTTGCCAATATGAATCTAAGAATTAAGGTTCGAAAAATATGCACACCATTTGACTCAATAGTCTCTTTTCTGTGAATCATTCTGAAAATAATTATTTAAATATTAAACATTTAATTTTATATTTATTATCTAAAAATTACTCATATGAAGAAGTGCATTAGCTATGAAGATGTGGAAACATGGAAATATGCTTATAAATTAAAATTAACTTTAAGGAATGATTTACAAAATTACATATGTATCATGATTATATTTACATTAAAATATACTTAGTAAAAAAAACTGGAAGAAAATATATTACAATGGCCATGTTTATATTAAGGTTGCAAGATTATGAGTGGTTTTCTCTTTTGTTTCTTTTTGTAATTAAATTTCATGAGTTATACAATGGGATTTCAATTGAGTATTCTTTAGTACAATCTTTTAAAGGCAAACCTCTTTGTTTATATTTTCCCATTGTTTAGGCAATAGCTTTGGCAGAGGCTTTTTTTTTTTTATAGTGTCTTTTTATAGTGTTGGGGATTGAATGGGACTTTGCACATGTTATTAGACAAGCGCTCAACCACTGAGCTACATCCACAATACAATATTGTGTATTCTTCTTTTCATGAAGACCATGTGTGAAATTGTGTATGATGGTTGGTTAGATGGTTATTATTATAATTTTAGATAATTTCCTGATAAAGAGTCTTCTACTTTCTTACATTTGGTTTAGCTCAATTTAGATGTATGTCTAACAAATTTGTAATTTGTATGCATTACAAATTAGGTGGGAATATTTGTATTCCTCTGTTTTATGTTATTTTTCTCTCTCTGGTATCATATATATTATCCACAAATTGACTTAAAAAAACTTTTCTGTTCAGAACCACTGGATTCCTCATCAATTTATCTGTGGCATTATAGGTCAACTTGTCAACCAATTCAAAAATTGAGAGTCATGTGAGAGTCCTCTGTTTGCTTCACCACTTCTCAGCACTGTCTGTTTCATCTCCCCAGGCTTTTTGTATCTTCCGCATATCCTTCCCCAGGCCACTGCCTTAGAAAGGCTCTCATTACATGCAGTTTATAGTTCTATAATGCTATGTAATTAATCTCTTTGTCCTTCAATCTATCTTTCACATTATCCCTAAATTAGTGGTTCTCAATGGGAGAGGGGTGGTGTTTTGGCCCCCAGGGGACATCTGAAGATACTTTTGGTAGTCACAACTGGAGCAGGGAGAGAATAAGGAGTTTGGGGATGGAAGGAGAGCAAGGAGTTGTACTGGTAACTAGCACGTAGAAGCTGGAGATGCTGTTAGACATCCTGCAAAGCAGAAGACAGCCTGGTTCCCCAACAAAAGTTTCCAGCCACAAATTTTAATAGTGCTGAGAATGAGAACCTCTGCTTAGAGTGATTCTTCTAAAATAAAACTTAATTAAATCCTTCAAGTACAGACTATTTCTTTATTTATTTAGTTTTTTTTTTTTTTTTTTTTAATGTGGTGCTGGGGATCGAACCCAGTTCCTCACAAGGTCTAGGCAAGTGCTCAACCACTGACCCACAACCCCAGTTCCAAACTATTTCTTTTTTGGTGAAAGTTTTTGCATGAAGCTCATCTTTTCTAGTCTCAGTTACAAAGCATGTAGTATTCCTTGCCTGAATATGCTATGTTTTCCCTGGCTCCTGCCACTTGTCTGCTACTTGAAGACTTTTCTGACTTTTCCAGATTGGGCTGGATGATTCTTCTCTGTGATCACCTTTAGGGGTACATGAATCACACTAATTATTGCCTGTCAGTTCCACTTCACGATGAGCATTCAGAGAGCAGGAAGTCTTTTTCTTTGAATTTTCAGCAATGTTTGACACAGAGAACGGATCTAAATCAGTCAAGGCCCTCTGCCCTGACTCCATTTAATGAGCAGGCAGATTTGCTTTTGAGCACAATAGGTTCACTGCTGCAATCCTATTTTCCTTTTGCTTTATCCTCTCCTCACCTGAAATGCTGTTCTTTCATGTCTCTGTCTACCTTCATGTTCTTCCCACCTATTCTTTAAGGATCAGATTAAAAAGAATCACTATAATTTACTGAGCCATGTGCCAGGTCTCCATTATCTTAATTAACCTTCAGTAAAACCCTTATAAGGAAGGTATTGTCCCAATTAAACAATGATGCAAACAGCTCTGAGGTGTTCACAGGCGAGATAAGACAGGCACACCAACACTCACAATCACAATGCAGGTACGTGGGCCCAGTTCCTCCCTGCTTGGTTCTCCTGTCTTCTCTGATAGCTTTTCTTTTTCCTTCCAGATGGTAATTGGGAGATCATTTAGTCTGCTGTTCAACTTTTATGAGCAAACTGAAATGCTTTATGGAAACAGGTGGTTAATGATGGAGGACAAACCCGAAATCTAGTAATTTGGATTCTGATGCTCTTTTCACCCACATCCAACATGTCTTGCTCAGTCTAAGTTGCCATTCCTTCCCCTCCCCCAAGACATTAGGAGCAGTCCAACATGGTTAGTGGAATTAGGACAGGTGGACAGTCTTAGTCTGCAGGGACTTAAAGATGCAGAATTCTGGGGCTGGGATTGTGGCTCAGTTGCAGAGTGCTCGCCTAGCACGGGCGGGACCCAGGTTCGATCCTCACCACCACATAAAAATAAAGGCATTGTGTTGTGTCCATCTACACCTAAAAAATAAATATTAAAAAAATGCAGAATTCTGAAGATCCATGGCCTAGGAGAATTTTCATCTAAGGATTTTCATGGGGAAGTCACTAAAATGACAGGAATGATTGGAACAGATTCGAATTTTTAAAAACTTACCATGGAGAATTGTGGGGCTGTAGTGAATGCAAGGGACAATGTAAGATGTTTTTGTGGTTCAAGACCACGTGTGGGAATACAAAGAAGTGGACTAATTGGAGAGCTATCTATATTGTCAGAATTTTGCAATCGATGGTCAATAGGGCATGAATTTTGGCTATAGTATGACTCTGATGAAGGGACTTTAGCCTTATTTTATCTCTGCATGGTTAAAATATGGTTAACACTTACTTTGAGGGATGTTAGAAACAAATGAAAAGTGCTAGACACATATTAGCTATCAACAAATATTAGTTCTTATATACATAAGTTAGTTTTCCTCCTTCAAATAGTTCTTTAAATAGAAGATCTTAAGTAACTCATCAAATCTTCGAGATTTGTTTTCTGGTTAAGTAAGTTCTTGTTAGTAGTCAGGTGCCCTTTGAGCTTAGTTTTTGTAAGATTGGTGTTAGGTGCGGACAGGCTGAATAAGTTATCTGCAGGGCATGCCAAACAAAGTTAGCTACAGGGTGATCTGGCCACTCAAACCCTCTGTCTGGTTCTTTATCACCTGTTTGTTTCAAGCCAACTCCAAGTCCCCGCCCTCCCCAAGGCTGAACACTCAACCCCCCTTGTGCCAACAAGGCAGCTTGCAAACACAGAGACCCTGTTAGATTTAGGCAGCACAGCACAAGGGCTATAAAAACCTTTCCCTGCCACAGCTCTCCCCCCACCCCACCCCCTTCTCTTTCTCTCGTTTCTCCTCTGTTGCACTGCTGCAATAAAGATCTCTCTGTCGCTCTGAGTGTTATGGTCACTTTCCTTTCAGTTGGGATAAGGGGCAGAGGTATACACGGAAGGCTGTGATAAATGCATCAAAGTGTACAAAGACATGATGGAAGGCCTCCAAACTCGGTGGTGGTGGGAGTGTCACTCTATGGACAATTTTACTTCCTAAGCAGGCTGACCTCCAGTCCCTAGATTGGTGTTTTTAGAAGAAATGGTAAAATCTCCCAGTCACGGATGGGGCGGGGGCGGGGCTTGCGGGAGGCCGGATGGGGGCGGGGTGGGCAGGCCAAGTTCAGGGTCTCTAGCCTCCACCTAGGCTCCCGCCCCCTTTCCGGGGCTGCAGCTCCTGACGTCGAGAGGAGGCGGGGCGCGCCGCCGCGGGGAGGGAGGCGTGGCCGGCTGCGGGGAGGGGCGGGAGGCGGGAGCGTCGCGGAGCGCAGGCCTCGGAGGCCCCGGAGTTACCGCCAGCCGTAGACTGAGCTGGCCTGCGCCCCAGTCTTAGTTTTTCTCCCGGTGCCCCCTCCTCAGCCCTGGGCGCACCGCGCCGGGCCGAGCGGCTGGCTGCCTAGCGAGCCGGCCGCCCGACCCCGACCGGCGAAGCGACCCGGAGCCGTCCGGCCCAGGCGCACACGGAAGTGGTGAGTGTCACCGAGAGGTGGTGAGAAGCCTGCCGCAGTCTCGGCGACTGGCGAGGGGCGCGGAGTTTTACGCTGGCCGGAGGCGCGGCCGCGGCTCTTGATGTGTCTCCGAGCGCCGCGAACCGCAGGCGACTCCGCGAGCGCCGCGCGGGACCCCGGGGTCGGGCCGGTGGGGCGTGCGGGTGCCAGCGGGGACGGCGGGGGATTTCCATCCGAGCGGGGCCGGCGGCAGCGGGGAGGTCGCGAGGCAGGGGCCCGGGGCCAGGAGGGGAAAGGTTGAGTCTCGCCACCCCCTCCCCCCGAGCGCACCGCAAGTTTTCATAAACAAGCCCGGAACGCGCTGTCAGACATCCTGTTTATACCACCCCGAGCTTCGGGCGCGGGCTTGAGGTCTTGACGTCCCTCGGTCGCCGCGCGGAGAACTTGACCGCCAGCTCCCTGGCCCACTTGCTGGGGTGGGGGGGGTGGGGTGAGAGATTTTTTTTTTTTTTTTTTTCCTGTCCACAGGACGGAGGCTAAGTGTCTTTTTTCTGTGTTTGGTTTTGGAGTCTGGTAGGGGTCTGGTAGGGATCTCAGGAAACGCCCCTCCCCTTCTAGGTTCTGTTAAGGTACCTGGCGCCAGGTAGGCAGCGAGAAGGGCGACATGATGAGCCTGGAAGGGAGGACCAGGGAAGGGCAGCAGTGAGAAAGAACCATGTAGGGATTTGCGAATTCTGCTGTAAAGGGACTTGATTAACCGAATCTGGGACTGGTCTCCGAACTCCTCGGACCCCATCCGCGCGCGGCTGCCTGGTTGGCGCATCTGAGGGGGGACGTTGCTTCAGCGGGACTAGTAAACACCTTTCTAAAGTCACTCCCTGAGGTTCCTGAAATGTGGGCTCCTTGCATATGTGTTTACGAACGAATTCTCTAGAGAGACTAGATGAAAGGTGACTACTGCCAGATGTTTGTGTGCCCATCTGAGGACAAATTCTCTGATTTCCTGTGTGTTACTGGGGAAGGGTATCCTGCCCTCCCTGCCCTTGATACGTGGCTGTGAGCTGTCTTGCTCCTGGTTGGATACACTACTATACATGCTATTAATCCATTTCATAGAGTTTTTCTCTCAGTGACAGGTATTTACAGTGCTATAAAATTGTCATTACTTCTGTCAGGGAGGAAGGCCCTGGGCTGTTAAATGATGGTATAATGCAGAGACTATTAGGTGTGAGCATGTAGTCTTTTGTTATCCCCCCCCGCCCCCAAAAAAAAAGGTTTGAGTTATGTGTGGACATAGCCACTTTGGGAAATTAAGAGCATTTTGTATTGATTAAATTTTTGTTCCTCAGTTTCCAAAGCCCCATTTTGTGTTGTCTGTTCACTTTTGCTTTTGGTGACTCTAATGTTTTCCAAGACGTGGGAATCATTTTCATTGAAGGATCAATGTGTTCTTTTGTACTCTGTGGTGAAGACTAATGGAGACCACCAGGGTTCTGGACACTTCTGGTGCAGTATGCTTTGTAATAAGTAGAAAATGTCTTCCGCATACAGATCCAGATCACATAAAGACGCAAGAACATGTCACTGAATGATTGTGGACATTATGAATAGAAATAGTCATTACCTTTTCTTAATTCTATATATTGTGTTAACTAAGCATTTTCATTGTACCTTATCTCAGACTCTCTAGATAACTACGTAGCTTTTTTTTTTTTTTTAACCAGGATTTTGGTGTTAACAATCCACATAGAATACTGCTAGTTTAAACTTTTTTCTGTTCCATAGTATACTCATTAATTACTACCATTGGGAAATGATGAGAGTAAATAAATTAGGCATTGGCAAAATAGTTTATTTTTCAAAACATACCTATATTTCAGGTTTTTTTTTGTGTGTGTAATTTAGGCAGTTTTAATATCAATTTGCCTAATGCTATACTTGTAATTACCTCTGATTACTTGGTATCCATCCTTTACAGATTTAAGATGTTAAAATATAAAATCTTTTGAATGTATGCATTTGCTAAAAAAATCTAGTGAAGATAAGGAATTTTGGGGATGGGGCTGCTTTTGTAGGAGTAGACTTGGATTGATTTTCTTGAAGAAACAGTCTGAGGGCTTCTAAATAGGCTTGTGAGGTCTTCCAGTTTAGATTCTAAGTTTCCAAGCATTGGTAATTTTAGTAGCAGACTGAAAATTATAATAATTTAAATTATAAGTATAATGATAAATTATGTTCTGAATTATCAGTTTCTTCTGAATGCCTTAAAGTAACATATATTTGGACAGGAAGCCAAAAGAAGCAACTTGTGTAGGTTTACCATTTTTATAGAGAGAACACTAAGTAAAAATAACTGCATTAATAAAGTATTTTTTTCTAATTTTTAGGTTCCTATGGTAAATGTTTTTTCCTTTTAAATACACATATCATTCTGGATAGTCATTATGTTCTAATTAGGTAATAATATGCCATTAGAAGGTTTATTGTTGGAAATGTACATATTTGTGCAAAGAACTTTATCTTGCTTGTTTGCACATTTAAGAAAATTTTTTCAACTAGGGAATTAGTTAAGAAAATGAATCTTCTGTTTCTGTTATGTGTGTGGCTCAGTCGAGTTGTCTCTTTGTTATAGAATTGAGGTGTCTGAAGGAACCCTGCAGATTCTTTTAGACCATTGATTCTCACTTTGGTATGATTTTGCACTGGAAGAAGTACTTGCAACTTCTGGAGAGGTTTTGGTAGTTACAATTTGGGAAGAGGGGTGGTAATATTGGCTTCTAGGGGGTAGAGGCCAGGGATTCTGCTAAATATCCTACAAGGCACAGGACAGCCTCTGACAACAAAGTATTATCTGGCTTAAAATGTCCATAGTGCCTGAGGTACTAGGTGAGAATCCAGAAGATCTGAACTCCTATCATGGCAAATCTTTTTACTTCTGGTACTTATTTTCTTCATCTTAAAATGGAAATAAAAATATCCACCTTAGTTGTCTCACAGAATTGTTGAGGTAAATCAGGTAAATAATGTACATATAGTGTGTGAAAACTGAACAGCTACACAGGTTGTAGCTATTATAAAGTTTATTTTTTTAAGAAAGCCTTTTTAAAATTTTTTTATTTTAGTTGTAGATGGACACAATACCTTTATTTCATTTAATTATTTTTATATGATGCTTAGGATTGAACTCAGTGACTCACACATGCCAGGCAAGTGCTCTACCACTGAGCCACAACCTCAGCCCAGTTTTTTTTTTTTAAATGAATAAATTATTAGATATGTTGGGAGTTGAGAGGTTGAGACAGTATGCTGAGGAAAAAGCAGGATAGATGGTTTAATATTGATTATTCATCTTTTTGGGATAAAGAGTTTATTTAGTGTAATTATTATTTTTCTTATTGTTAGAACACAAACTTCTTAGCTCTGTATTTTTTTTTTTAAATAAGCTTATTTTCTCATTGCTACGAGTGGGAGACACACTGTAGAAATATTGGAAAGTGGGAAGTAGAGGAAAAAAATCATCCATGCTTTACTCTCTTTTCCATTTAAGGACAATCACCTTACCCTTTTTTCCTATAAGAGTGGTTAAAATTGGGAAAAGAGTTATAATGGAAATAGGAAGAGCACCTGGTGACCAAGGGCGGTACTACTTGTTTTTATGTCTTTACTTTTTTCTGTTTTAATAATTAATTACAGTACAAGTCAGGTGTTGGTGCGCGCCTACAATCCCAGCTAATTGAGAGGCTGAGGTAAGAGGAACTCCTGAGCCCAGGAGTTTAGGGCCTGCCTGGGCCACATAGACCTGATTGCCTTAAAAAAAAAGTTGCAAAGGTAAATTATAGGAGGCATTTGAGAAATTGGCTCATTGTTTTTATATATTTCATGCTAACCTCCAAGCATGTTTATGTTTGGTTTGTTGCTTCCTCTCTCCTTGCTGTCCCCAGTACTCAGCTAGGTATGCCACTGTTGCTTCCTGTCTTAAAAAATGCTTTGGTAACATGGGGTTTTAAGCATCTGCCATGTTGAAATGACTGGGTTTCTGGGGCAGGAAACTAATTCCTTTGAGTATTCTTTCCTCTGAAGTACATTAGCATTTTTGGCAGTTTGAGGCCATAAGAAGGCGTAAAACATTAAGCTCATTTCCGTGATACCTTCACTTCTAAGGTTTTATGATCTGTGATTCTTTGCAGCTGGCTGTGGGCACACATTCTTCCTTGGTGCTGAGTAAATTGCCCAGTTCCAAGGCAAGATGTACTTTCAGAAGCAAAGGAAAATTTCTTATAAGTTTACTCTGGCTAGAAGATAGTGAGTATTTGTTGTGGTATTTTTAACCTATTACTGACTTTTTTTTTAACAGTAACATTCACACAGCATTTTATTCATTTATTTATTTATTCAGTAAATGCTTACCGAACTCTTGCTACAACTGTCAGAGAGTGAATAAATAGAACAAAACAGGTAAAAATTTCTGCCCTGAAAGAGCTATGTCTAGTGGAAGACCTCAGAGAGCGTGTGCAGAGCTTTGAAGTTGCAGGTTATACAGATGAGTAAATCCTATGTTGTTATTGTAGATTGTTTCCTAGAAGCCTTCAGAGCACTCCACTGATGTCTGAGAACTAAGGAGTAGTTTCTCTTTGTTGTTGTTCTCTTTATAAAATTTTAAGTTGGCGCTGGGATTGTGGCTCAGTGGTAGAGCGCTCACCTAGCACGGGCGCGACCCGGGTTCGATTTTCAGCACCACATAAAAATAAAGGCATTGTGTTGTGTCCATCTACAAAAAAGATTCTCTCTCAAATTTTTTTTTAAGTTACAGATTAATTTATTCTTTGTATACACAGATGTCTCTTGGTACCTCTGAAGTGTCTGGCAGATGGATTAGGCACAGTTTATGATGGAAGTAAGTTTGCTCTTTGTAGCTATAACACGGTGTAGGTAATGCTATAGTAGAGGTGAAAATTAGAACCACAAGGACCTCTGAAAAGAGCTAAATTCTATTTGGAGCCTTTCTCAAATGCTTTTATGAA